TTTCTCAATGTATATGGATCCCAAGGGCTTTAATGGATTTTTTTTTTTCCATTGATGAGCAATTTCCAATGGCCGTGGTTTGCATTCAGTAGTCTGATTTTGTTTGGGCCGCTCTGATATTCCCAGACTTCTCCAAGCTCATTTGTAGTGGGCTGATGTCTTCTTATAAACTCAAGGCACCAGGGGAGCTATTAAACATTTACAGGTTTCTTCCTTTCAGTACAAGCCGAGGCCTGAAATCCTCACTCAGTTTTTCACTTGATCCCATCCCGTGTAAATCGCTTGTTGTAGTTAACAGAAATTTCCCCGTGAGCAACGACCGCAGGATTCAACCTTTAATTTGCAAAGGATACTGGTAGGGGCGGAGAGAAGATTGACACTGGAAGCCTTCTTGCCTGAGATGTCGCTACAGAAAGAGAAGCTTAATTGTGTCAGGTCTACGACGATGACCTCAAAATTAATCTTTGAGCTCCATTACAAACCGTTATGTCAGTGCTAGCCAGCTAAGAAGCAAATGTGCGGTGACTGGGGTATCTAAACCTGAAACCTGCGGGATAAGATCTGGATTCAAAAGGCAACAAACACATGTGAATCTTTTGGCTGACTTCAGTGGGATTTAAATGTGGCTGGATGTGCAGAGGCCTCTCCCAGGCACCTCTGAAACAGAGATCATGAGCGGGACATTCAAAACTTAGGTCTCTTTATTAATCAAGGATTCAGCACTAGGAAAAGGTTTACCCTGAGCCTTCAGTCCAGGTGCAGCTGCTCCCAGGGCTCCTCCTTGGAAGAGCTCAGCCCAGACCCTGGGTCCTCCTGCTTCTAATCCAAGATATCTCCCCCCGCTTTCATGCACCATTGGGCTACAGTGGGAGTCACTGGGCGCATCTACACATTCATTAATGTGTCGTAATAATGGAGCATTACTAATCACAGGTACTAACTTAATGCTAACTTAATGCTACTGCTCATTAGCGCTGGTGCACGCTTTTTAAGTGACACTAATGCACAATAAACCAATTCTACGGTACACTAGCGCATTAGCACGGTTTTTTCGTGCCGCACCAATGCGCAGTAGAATTAGCCCACGGCAGCGGTTCCCAAACTGACAGATTGCGCACCACCAATTTAAAATGCCACCTTAAGTACCACCAGCAAATTTTCCAGTTCAACCTTAAGTACAGCCAGCACATTTTGGTCATATAAAATAATGATAATAAATCTGTTAACATGTGCGTCCCACTGGTGGTACCCGTACCACAGCTTGGGAACCGCTGGTGTACTGCACTGTTAGTGTCTCGTGTAGACATGCCCCCCGAGCAACACTTGAGATGAAGCCAAGTCCCCCGTAGGTTTGCTCTCCCCACTTCTAGTCTGGATTTAACTAATCAGCCTGGCGGTTGTGTAACCCAACCTGCCAAAATGGAAAGAAGAGCTAATTTTTAGTTCATTAGGCTCTTGTACGGCAAAGTCCTTGATTCCGTCAAAAGTACGGCATGAACTTTCACCGATTAACGAAACATGGAGTGCTTATTAGATGACCCCAAAGGTCCCTCCCTACAATTTATGAATAACAAAAGCAAAATCAACGTGTTGCTGAAAAATGCACATGGGTGAAATCTTTTCAAGCATCACAGCCAAAATATCTAATAACAGAAGTCCCAGTGTCCCTGATAAAGCAAGACGGAGAAAGGCAGTAGAAAAAATAAAGCATTCTTCTACAAATCACTGCCCTGGCAAGTTATCAACTGCATGATCAATAGGTCACCGTCGTCTATGATATTTGCATCTGATCTGAATTGTGCTGTTGCACTTGACTGTCCGACAAGGCTTGTAGCAGCTAACACTTCCTTCGTTAAGTCTGCCTTCATATAAAATTCACCTTGAATTACAATTCTATATTCGGTGCTGTGTATCTGAGCATAACTCTGTCAAACTTTCTGCTGCGCTCACCTGCTGGTTGGGGAGTAGAGATATTTCAAGATGAAAATGAAATAATGATGGTTGCAGAAGTCCTAGCAGTATCAAAGAAGATGGGAAATAATAGAGCTGTGCCTATTCGTTGCCTTGTGTTAGCATCCCATCAATATGCATTATTGGTTTCTTTCACTGCAAAGCAGCCTACTGATCATACATCGCCTTAATCTTAGATTTCATTAAGGCTTACCGACATACACACTATTTTAAGTCTAGTCAGACCCGACCCCACCCCACCCCCCAAAAAAAAACCAAAATGGGAATTTTCTTAGCATTTTGTTTTAACCGAAACCTTGGGATTCTGATATTTCCAATGTTTGCCTTTTGCTTCATATATGTAAACCTTGCAACGAGAGGCTGACGCAGCCAAAACCCTGGAAGACTCGCATGATTCAGGTGAGCATCAGCCATTCTATCAGTTAGAACTGGGGTGCCAAACTGGCCACACCTGGCTTGGGGGTCATCTGGCTTGTAGGGGTCCTCTCTGGCCAGATGACCGACCTCTAGATCCGAGCAACAGTGCTTCTCGCCACGGCCGTGCTGGTGTTGCTGCTGCTGCGGCCAGCCCCCAAGGAGTCATTGCTTCCCCTAACGCACACTGCCGCTGACATACGTGTAGTACTAAGTCCAAGGCTGTCGGACAGGCCACTACTAGGAGTTTCAATTAAAAATGTTTTATATGCAAAAAAAATATAAGGAGATTGTGTTTTACAGAAGGAGTGGTAAGTAGGGGAGCAAAGACATCACTTGCTGTGCAGGCTTCACACCACCTTGAAGTCCATTCAACCTTTTCGCACGGTATCATCTCACGTCTGTCTTAACAGAGACCCCTTTCAGCCTGAACTCTTAGTCCTGTTCTTCCTTTGTGTACATCAGCTATTCCCTAGATAATCCCTCCCTTGTCCTTTCCTCCTCCTAACAGGGGGCCCTCCTTTCTGGAAACCACCTTGCTTGCACTGCCTCTGCTTGGCTATCCCCCGCTTTAAGGAAAATGCTCTGCACTGGGTAATCCAAACCCTAGTCTAATGAACAGGCAGGCCCTCTACGCAACATCTAGAGAGAAAGCAATACCCTAACAGCTGTATTGCTCTTACTGCATGCTACCTCGAGCACTGGATCCATCAAAAACCCAGGTCCTTTTCTGATACCTCATTAGCCAGCTCTTTGCCATTTTCAACTATGCTTCACTTCCTTATTATTCCCACTCAACAACATCCCTACACACCTTCACATTTTATTATGCATTTGCCTAATCGATTGGGATTATTCTGGAAACACCTGCTTTTCTGAAGCTTAACCCCTCCCACCCACTATTTTGGTATCACCTTCAAGCATATTTTAGAGCTGTGGAAATACTTATGAAACTATTCAGACAGAGCCCTGCACGGACTCACGCTTTGCACGTTTCCAAGAAATTCCCACTTTTACTCCCATCCCTCTGCTCGCTGCCCAGGCTCAGGGCCGGTCCTGTGAAACCTTTACTCACACAAGCAGGCCTTACTTGCCTGAGTAGCCCTCTTGATTTGACCAGGATTACTCCCACACTCGACAGGATGACCCATGGGTTAGGAGTTTTCTGGATGAGATCCCCCCGTCCTTTCCAGGTCTCAATAATTTATTATCTACCCCCTATTTTGAGTGTACAGAACAATCCATCCTGGGAAGCTCGGTGGCAAAGCTTTCTGAAAACCCAGATATGTCTGTTGCTCCTCTCCTATCTAGATCAATATTTATTTAATTTGAAAAAGGAATCCAATTTGTGTGACATGATTTACTTTCCACAAATCCATGCCGACTCCCATTAGTATGCTGCAGCCTTATTAAGCTGCATGCAACTGTATCGTTAAACTGTCAGGAAATACATTTTTGAGGCTGCCTTTAGAAGCAGACAGCAGGAAACTCTGAGCTGAGGCCAGCAGTGCCCTGAAAAGAGGTGCTCAGTGCTGGCGAAGGCCACAACCATAGCTGCCGGCGGGGGCTGCAAAGAGTCAGGCTCCTTCTTGACATTCTTCTTTAAAACATCAGGATGGGATTTGTCTTTTTCCAACTCCCTGGTGCCCCGCTATTATCATTCGTGTTTGTATTGGGATAATGGCCAAAAGCCTGCATGAGGACTGGGGTCTCCTTGTGCCAAACGCTGCATGGTCCCACACAACTAACAGCCTACGCGCCCTAACCCTGCGCTGGGCTTCATGCAGAGTCCGGGGGGCTTGACATGGGAGCTGCTGGTACGTCTGCCTGCACGGTGCGTAATGCAGGGTCGTGGCTTAACTAGGACAGACAGATGAGCAGGAGTAGGCACATGCAAGCAAAAGGTCTGTGATAGTTAACTATCTTGGGGCAAGCATAAGAGGGTTTGTTTAACCTCCCAAACCGTCTTCCCTTCCCCAGTGCCTGAAAAGCAACCAGCTTCCAGCATGGCGACCCCCATCCCTTCCACCCAGCAGTCAGCTCTCCTGGCCCATAATGTACAGATTGCCCAGAGACGCCCCCCTTCACCTGGACTTTAGTGCAAGGCTCATTCGCCAACTGTTTCCATGCAGTCTCCAGTGCCTTAACCCACACCCTTGCTGGGGCCATGGCTAACGATGCATCGGAGATGCCGGGAGAGCTGGTGACTGTCACCCTCGCTTCCTTGAGAGTCCTGAATGCCAGACTCTCCTCCCTTTGCACGCACCGAGTAGTCTCGCCAACCCCAGCACAGCTGCCTGCACAGTAAAGTGCTGCCCAGAAGGAGTAAAGGGGGCAGAATCTGGCCCTTCAGTCTGCTGCCCTGCAAAGGGCCCCAGCAACTCTTTCCTCTGTTTCAATCCCCGGGTGCATTGAAAGACTTTCACATTGCTTTTCCACTCCTCTCATCCTACGTATCGGACCCTAACGGTGCGTCTGAGCGCTGCTCGTCCCGGTTCCTCCGAGGACAGGTGTATACGGCTAACACACATGCACGTATCTGCTCCATTCACGCCGGGGGATGAAAACAGAGGTGCACGGCCACTTCCAAGCTGCCGGCACGTCAAGCCGCCTACCTTGAACTCCATGGGGGTGTACTTCTCGTTCTTGGGGGTCGTGTTGCCTTTGTAATGGAGATGGTTGGGAGTGGTCGGGTGGATAACAGTCGACTCCTGGGACTGCCTCTGACAGCGCTGACAGTACACGTAGATCACAAACGTCAGGAGACTAGAGCCAAAGAAGCAGGAGACCCCAGTGGCAATCAAGTGGATGAGACTAAAACCTGCAAAGGAAATGACAAGCGATGCTATTTTTAAGGAACAGCCTTTCTCCCTCGCCTGACAAGACCACAGGTGCACATCAGAGCTATGACATCTCGGGCTCAACATTAATAAGCTGTTGAATCTGGAGTCTTGCGTTTTAACATCGACTGACATAATCTCCTCGCAAAAACCGGCCTCCCCAGCACTGCTCTGCCTCGTGAAGTTTAATGGGTTCATACACTGCTTTTTTCCCCCCTGTCTTTCCTCTCTCTCCATCTATTGGTATTGAAGCCAAACATTATGTTAAGCTGACAGCCAAAGAAATAAGGCATTCCCACAATACATATTAATGGGCTCCAAAGCACATATGTGTCATGGACATCAGGGGGGTAGAAAAACCGAGCGTCTCTCTAAGGGTAGAAGAAAAAAAAAAGTCCTCTGTGTTGGCTACTCAGAAATACCGAAGAGGGGAAATGGGGCAGGCAGGGGCACAACTTCTCCTCTCCTAATTTGTAACTTCTCCGGGGCTCAATGTTGTTTTCGGTGGGCCCGAAGGGCGCATTTGCACTGAACTGCTCTGTACGATTCCCAAGGTGCATGAGCACCGCTCACAGACCTGCGAGTAGGTCCGCTGGACAGATGAAGGGCATGGGAAAAATGACAGAGAAGAAAGGGGGCAGGGAGAAAAAACCAGCAGGACGA